TAGCAAAAATGCAATAAACACGAAATGGTTTGAGAACAAGACAAAGTAATAATTTTTGGCTTCTGTAAAGGAGTTCTTAACCCATACAACACACAGTCCAGACATCGAACCAAACTATTTTTTTATTTTCCCAAAAATTAAAAACTTGATGAGGTTTCATATTTATGGAGCTGAAAGAGGCCTTGAGAGATTTCATTCAGCATGTGAAACACATGCCCTGATCAATAGTCCATGTTTTCAAAAATGGTTTGAACAAATGAAAGTGTTTAAAATGTAATGATTTCTTATATTTACGCGAACACTACACATTGAAATAATACTAATTTTTACGGAATTTATCGCGTATATTTAACTTTTTTACCCGACGTTTCGAGAGCTTTACAGCACCCATGGTCACGGGAAGGACTGAGATGTTCAACGTCCAGCTGTCATAGTTAACCGCGGTTACCATAGATTAAGATTTAACTTTTGTTCCGATCTACACAGTATGAACTTATGGTATCATGGAGTCTTGCAGTTGTATGCTTGGGTTGGGATTTAATTTTATTTATTATAGGATCCCAAGCAGATGGTAGCACCCAGCCATCTTCTCTATTGAAATTAGGATGTTTTTTGATTTCAATAGCCTCGCGAATCATCCTTGGAAGGAATCGGTGTTCTTTAGCGAGGATTTGTGGTCTATCAAATCTGATGTAGTGACGGGGGCGATCCTGTACATGTTCACAGACTGCAGACTTCCCGGAGCGTCGATTCTTCACATCAGCTATATGTTCTTTGACGGTTTTTAATTCGGAATCCTGATAACACCTTGAGCCATACTGTGTATAGAAAAAAAGACCCATACAGATAGATATTTAAACGGTGATTCTCACCACCATCCTTCACAGTTAGCTACCGTGGGTAAATCTTTGTTTCAGAGAGCACGAGGGATCTGTGACAGTAAACACCTGGCTGCCGAGCTCCAACATGTCAAGCAAGTTTTGCATGACAACAAGCTTCGGGTCCCGCGCCTACGTCACAGAGAACGAGTGAAGCCGGCCACAGTCGAGCGTGTTCCTGCTGTACTGCCGTATGTTAGAGGAGTCACTGACAAGATTGGCTACATCTTGAAGCGCGCTTCCATCAAAACATACTTCAAGCCGCCGAAGAAGATTGGTCAGTTTTTACCATCAGTCAAGTGTAACGTCCCTCTGCAAGATGCAGGAGTGTACAAGCTTGATTGTGAATGTGGTCTCTCCTACATAGGACAAACTAAAAGATCAATTAAAACCCGCGTCAAAGAACATATAGCTGATGTGAAGAATCGACGCTCCGGGAAGTCTGCAGTCTGTGAACATGTACAGGATCGCCCCCGTCACTACATCAGATTTGATAGACCACAAATCCTCGCTAAAGAACACCGATTCCTTCCAAGGATGATTCGCGAGGCTATTGAAATCAAAAAACATCCTAATTTCAATAGAGAAGATGGCTGGGTGCTACCATCTGCTTGGGATCCTATAATAAATAAAATTAAATCCCAACCCAAGCATACAACTGCAAGACTCCATGATACCATAAGTTCATACTGTGTAGATCGGAACAAAAGTTAAATCTTAATCTATGGTAACCGCGGTTAACTATGACAGCTGGACGTTGAACATCTCAGTCCTTCCCGTGACCATGGGTGCTGTAAAGCTCTCGAAACGTCGGGTAAAAAAGTTAAATATACGCGATAAATTCCGTAAAAATTAGTATTATTTCAATGTTTAAAATGTAATGGAAAATACTTTTAATAACAACTTATTTATGAGTTTATCTAAAACTTTCAGTGTATCCCACGACTTTAATTTCATTGTTATTATCATTCATTCATAAATTCCTTACTATTATGAATAAACCAAAAATACTGCATAATTGATTTATGTTTTTAGATTTACCTATATTTAATAGTGAGTGTATAACATACAATTATTAAACAAGTTAAAAAAAGCTTTGTAAATTTAAATACACACCATATTCTCAGAGGAAAAGACAGAAGGCATGATTCGGCACTTGAAGAAGCGAGAAGATGTCCTAATCGCATTACAAATTGCAACTTACTAATTATTTTTGCTGATAGATGTTAAAAAATAATAACTGCAATCCCTCATACCACATTTATACATGGTAGAGCCATGCTGCAGCTATACGATGGTTGTAAAACTAATGGGTTGGCTAGACCGAGGACGTACCAGACTCTCAAAGTTTATCAGCATGAAATAGCAGCTTAATACTGCTGTGTTATGTATGGTGTGTTAAGAGAACTGAAGACCCATTTTTACAGAAAATGAGACATTCCATCGCAGGGATGACAACACATCTGCATTTTGATTTATAAACGAGAACAGATGTTGATATCTCTGGGCCGCAACATCCTTACCATCACGTGAACTCTGTGTTCATTTGCCATCTTTATTCTAAAAAAACAAACACTACTTAGGGCAATAAACTATGCCCATCCTACAGATTGCGATACTTTAAACGACAGTCGCTATTACGAGATATTTTCATAATATTTCAACTATCGCGGAATAGATTTTACCAATCGATAATAGTAATCCTGCATGATAGGATAGTTTGAACTTTTTATAAAAAAAGTCACTTTTTCAGCTTATAGTACTTTTTGTTAATGATGCAATTTCACTTATGATAACATTTAGTTTTATTAACTTTGATAATTTAACTAAAAAAATAAATAAAAATGTTTTATTTCAGTAAATCATTTTACAGTATATTGCCGAGGCCTCCCAGAAAGCAATCATAAGATACTTGTGTTGGAAGAGTCTCACTCTTCCTACGTAATAGTATCAACTTAGATTTACATCAAAATATAAACATTTTAAACATAATATTACAGTTATTCATGCATTTTAAAATGAAAGAAAGAAGCTTAGGAGAAATGCATACCTGAGTAGTTGTGTCCGTAGTGTTAGTTTATGATGTGTGTGTGTGTGTGTGTGTATGATGTGTGTGTGTGTGTGTGTGTGTGTGTGTGTGTGTGTGTGTGTGTGTGTGTGTTTATGATGTGTGTGTGTGTGTGTTTATGTGTGTGTGTGTGTGTTTATGTGTGTGTGTGTGTGTATGCTTGAGTGTGAGTGGGTGAGGAGTATGTGTGCAATTAAGAGTATAGAGCCACTCGGTCAGACTTTTTCTACACTCAAACATTTACATTTAACTAAAGAATACAAATTTGTTTTAGGTGTGTAAAATAATCAGTTTTCTTTTGACAAATGGAAAGCTTATATTCTATACCATTTTTGGTAGCCACGAGGAAAAAATCTGAAGTGACAATAGGTATATATGATTGACAATAGTATTTCTAAACTTTAGGCAAACTATTGTCTGAAATGAAATTATTGAATATGAAATTTATTCTTTTAAATTTCTACGGAAGTCACTTTGTGTATATTATATCCTATGCAAGTTTTGATTGTTGCAAGTCATTAACAGGTTAGAAATAGTGACCAGTGAAAACACATAATATTTTTACTGAAAACTAAATAAAAAAATATGAAAATGCTGTTATTTAACCAACCAACAACACAAATTATCAACTGATGCTTAAAAACTTGTTTTATCGGTTATTATTTTTGTATCTTCCTACTTAGCCCATTACGAAAATTGAGATAAAAATAAAGTCTAACATTTTTAGAACACTGACTAGTGTGTCCTATAATTTAACACCAAAAAATGAAAGTCATTATTTACTGGATTAAAAGTAACATCTAGGCGAGGAAAGGTACTTGAATATCTAGAGAAATATAGTTAGTCACTTTCTCTCTTATTCATCATCATTGTCATCATTACAGTCTATCACAAGTCCACAGGGTATGCCACATAGCACAGTTCCGAGCTACCTGTATCCACCTACTTCATCTTGCATTTATTACCAGATTGACACTCCATATAGCTGGTCACCCTACACTGCTTGTCGGTAAGAGGATGCCACTGAGATTCTTTCTTACCAATCAGTTGATTCTCTGAGTGATGTGACTTGCCCATTACCACTTTAGCTTACTGATCTATTAGACTATGTTGGTTATATTGGTTCTACTGCGGTTATCCTCATTATGTAGTCTATCATGAAGAGAAATTCTGAACATAGCTCTCTCCATTATTTAGTACCCATGAGCTTCCTCATAAGGCCAGCAATGATGGACTATGTCTCAGATTTATGTCTTAAATATTTCAAAATAATTACAGAGAAAATTACCATTTGGTCTTGGTACTGGTCAATTAAAGAGATAGGGAAAAGTAAGCCTGTATCAACCATAGAATACTATAATACACAATAGAATGACTGTCAATCTTATTTTGTACCGAGGTTCGGCGTCGCCGGGAGCACACATACAAGCAATTATGTTATCAGTTAATCACTACTACAAACCCGATTCGGTGTGTTAACAGATGGATTTTAATACATATTTATTTGTAAATAGTGTGCAATTTGGCATTTTCTAAATAATTTGCATGCGAAATTTGGTAACGATTTTAATGTCAAAACACATCTCGTGTTGACATTTATACGTGTGAATTGACGTTTTGTGGCATTTTAGTGACTACACGGGCTCCGCCCACACCCCCGTTCTATTATGTATGTATTATAGTATTCTATGGTACCAACTATAGAAAAAAATTAAAGTCTACAACTCTTTTATCTTCCCAATATCATATGATTGCCAAACATGACCAATTACAATGCACCATCATACCCAAAAAATGGAAGTGTGCCAATATGGAATGAAAGGGAGAATGCTACAAGACAATAAGCTGCCAAACATCCAGAAAATTATGAAAATAACAGATGTTTTGGTATAGGTACAGTATAAGGATGACAACTTAAAGGACAATGGTCCCAAAATTTGATGCAATACAAGCTCTAAACAAGTAAACCAATGATATACCTGTTTCATAGCTTAGATGGACAAAGAAATATGAGGAAAGATGATTTGCCCAAAGTTAAGGAGAGGCACAACACCCTAAATGGTGGTATATTGGGGTCTAATTCCATATATTTCAAATGTTGATAGTTGCTGATACCAATTTAATTTAATGATCATAATGCACTAGTTTAATCCATAATGCTACATCATACTTTTATATAATGCAAAATTATTTTATTTTATTATAACATCCTAAATTTAATTGGAATTGATGCTATATGTAACATTTTTAATACAAAATAAATTAGAGTAATGATTTACCTTATAAGTGACAAACATTTAAGCATAAATTTCTTAAAGATATTAATGGTCAAAATGCAATCTAACAGTTTAAATACAGAGAAACAAACAAATCTTTGTAACTGGGTGATTTAAAATTCTGACTTTTAGTTTAGTCAGAGATATCCTACACAGTACAGATATCATTCAAGTAGATTGGTACATACATTTAAATATTACTATTGAATATTTAGTTTCTATGCATTTAAAGTTATATTGTAGGACAAACGGGGCCTTTAGCTGAAATGGAGGTATCATTATTGCCAAGAATCCATGAAAGTTTCCCTATGTAAAAAATCAACCGCAATGGTACTAGGGCAATTAGGGTATTTAGCACTGCCAAATTAAAACAAAAACAAAACACATCTACATGTCACACAGTGGACAACTATTGTGGTAAGGAATTAAGTAATTTCTAATTTCTAGATATGATCATCTCCCTTTTGAGATCCCTCATCCTATAAATTTTGAATCACTTTTAACCTACATAAACACACCTTTTTTATATATTGTGTGATTTCATTATCACCAATAGCATAAAATTTTTAATGTTTGTCAATACTAACATATTAATGTAGCTCCAACAATTGTGTTTGTCATTTGGGTTAAACTATAGATGTCCGGTACTTGCGTACGCTGTTGAGAGAGGGAGGGGGGAGGGGAGAGTCATGAGAAGCCCCCGCTACCCTTGTCCCATTGCGGAAATGTATATTTTATGAGTAAATTTTTTTTTGAACAATCATGACCTTAATTTTGTATACAGGAATATTGACACAGTTACTTCTGCAACGACTTCGGCACTGCGGGAAGTGCAGCCCCTTCGCTCTTGCGTAGTAAATCACAGGCACCTCAGTGACCAGGCGACCAATAAGCTGAAGTTGCGGAGGCGAGCATAGGTGCCTGTGATTTGCTACAGCGGGTGGGGGCTGCTCTCCCTCTGTGCCTACGGCTTTACAAAAACACTCTAGGGGTAGGGCAGACAAGACAACGCGGAGTCGGGGTGTGCTGATTCGGTTTTAGAACCGATTCGACCAATCTTATCTATAAAGTTGCCCTAAACTCTGATATGATAGTGGTAAATGAAATAATGTAATGTGAATTGTTATAATTTTGTTTTCTGAAAAACCTCTTGACTGCTCTCCACTGTAACTCAATTTATTGTATATGAGTCCCATCTCCAGCCAAAAATTGATTGTCTGGGTCCGAGTGATTAACTTTTTTATCAGTTTATCTGTGTTAAAAAAGCAAATAGACTGACATATTTGCGTTTCGTTATTGCAATTTTTAGTGAAATTTATTTTTATCATAATTAATACAAAAGGCATTTCCGAAATCCAAAAACAGTGTAAATGGTTCGAGCTTAACCCTGACAATCCTTCTAAATTGAAAACAAACTTAAAAAATCAAGTACTGGACATCTACTTCATAATACGAGAATAAATTGACATATTTGCATTTTGTTATTACACAATTTTTAGTGAATTTTGTTTTTATCGTAATTAATTCAAAACACATTTCCGACATCTAAAAACAGTGTAATAGGTTCAAGCTTAACCCTAACAAGCCTCCTAGACTAAAAACATTATCAAAATCAAGTACTGGATGTCTATAGCCAACCCGTCATTTGTTTTAGGTATTTCAAAAACACAATCATTACACTTATAAAAAAAAAATAAAAAAAATTTAAATAAGGTATTTATCACCATCTTTTGTATATGGGCATTGTATTTGTGTCTGCTGAGCTAAGCATTCAGAATGGACATGAGAAAACCATACATAATAGGATATGAGACCAAGAAATTATACATAAAAGACTATGTATAATGCTATGTATAAATAAATATCCAGTGGCTGAATATTTACCACTGTTTGGCCAGTTACCGAATACTTATAAATATATGAGAAATAAGAACAGAATATATTACTTACATTTTTTGCTGGTTGTTTCTTCTTATCCAATTTTCTTTTCTCATCAATGAGAAGGCCCCTTGGTTTTGTTTTTATTGCATCTGCAACCTCATTTTTTTCAATCACCTTTGTTACATTTTCAACTGGTTTCTCTACTGTAAATTTCGGAGAACAATCAACTTCATCCTTATCACCTTTGTTTTCATCAACTTCATACAGTGAATCATCTGTCAAGTCACCAATAGTTCTTGTTAGTGAATGTGACAGTTTACAAGTAGGATGATAATCACAGCCAGAATCACTCTCTGAATCTGAGTTGTCAGATTCATCAGAGTTGTCAAAATCTGAGCTGTAGATGGCAACCTCTTGACTACTAAGTTCATCTCCAAATACATCATTTGAGAGGTAACAGCTGTCAGGTGAATCCTCAAAAACAATAAAAGAGTCTTCGGAATCACAATCTGATAGATTTCCATTTTTTAATGACCTAGGACTATCAGTAAAAACAATTTGGAAAGAATCTTCACTGTCTGTTGCAGAAGTTGAGTAAAATCTACCAGTTACTTCATCAAAGTAATTACTAGGGTCAAGGTATTCTGGTGAAGAATCAGAGCACTGGTCATCTTGTGACTCAAAGCTATTATTTAAGTCACTACTATTGATATCTTTAACAATATCTTCAACAAAAAATTGATTAAAAGTTTTATCTCCCTCTAAAGTACTATTTTGTTTTTTATTTTCGGCGCTAGATATAATTCTATCTGTATAATTATCTAGAATTGTAATAGGTTGGCTCTTCTGCTCTTTTTGTGTAGGTTCTGTTAAAATAGCAGAGTTGTGGTCAGTTGTAGATTTAGGGTTTTGTCTCTTGTCTAAAAGAGCCTTCAATGCATTTATTTTATCTTCACATGAAGACACAATATTGACATTTTTGCCATTATTAGTGGATATATCTATACTATTATCTTCATCAATATCAGGCAGTGTGTTACATGTTTCCATTTGTTCTGTCACTGGTAAATATTTAGTTTTAATTTGTGGGGCATCAGATACCAGTAGTTCTGGATTTTGATAACTAAATGGACTATAATATTCCAAAATAGTATCATTAGGAAAGGTTTCAATATCTTCAGGAGAAAAAGCATCTTCAAAACAATCCTCAATGGAATTAGGTTCAACAAATACCTTCCGTGGACGCCTCGGACGTAGTCTCAATTGATACTGTGGAGTCTGATGATTTGAAAGGAGTAAACGTACCTGATTAAGTTTATCCTCACAACGAGCAGCATTTATCTTACAATTCAAATCCATTGTTAAACTATGAGTGTTAGTTGGATCATTTGTACTGGCAGTAACATTGTGAGCCCGTCCATTTTTATTTTGATCCTCAGACTTGGCATGCTGCCAAGCTTGGAGTGAGGGCGTCATTTCATCGAAATTTTGCTCAAAGCATTCGTAATACTCTGTAGGGGAGTTCGCGCGTTTATGAAACATTGCTCCCGACATGAAACTGAAAACGCCTGAAAAAAAGCTTGTTATGCCTGCTAAAGATGGATAATAATCTATCCTATGCTCAGATGCTTCGACCTCGTTTCTTTTTTTAACATTGGGTAATGTTTTTATTTCGGACGCCATAGTTGTTTTTGTTTTTACCTCTTCTGTTATAATAGAATCTGCCAAATTTTTCTTTAGAGGATCCGGTATGAGATGTAAATTGCTTATATACAAACCGTCTCCAAATGTGTTTTTCATGTCCAATTTCATTTTAGTAGCGTCTGAAGAGTAACTAGTTACAGAGTGAAATGGAAAAAACCCAGTCCAATACAGAAGGTTGCGTCTACTACGCGTATCGCTCATATTTATATTATTCATTGGCTAGTCTGTAAACACAACCAAGTCTTGATATTAGGTCATTTTCACTCACACAAAAGTATTAATATTAAACCACTTAACAGAATGAGGCAAAGGCTTATAGACAAGTCTACAACACTTTATGCACTTTAAAGGCCGTAAGGGATTCCAGTAACCAAAGTTTGATGATATCGCGTTTTGTTCCGGACACTCTGTATCACTACAAGTAATGATGTTTGTCGTTACAAATTCTGAGCAACTCGCGGATTTCTTTTCTTTGAATAATAAATTGATAATTTCCTCCATTATGCTCAAATTCACAATTTACACGTCTTTATAGTTCAGCCATTTTGTTAAAACTTAATGCAAAAGCATAGAGTAGAATAATATATACAGAAAACTTAAAGCACAGAACACTATTACTCCTATCGGAGAAGAACGACAACTTCATACAAAATTTAAGAAATGAGATATATAACCACTAGCGCCATCTATCGTCAGCCTCCTGCACTTCTCGTGTGGCGGGAAAATTTGAATGTGGTCTTTTTTGTTTTTTTATTTGAGGTATTTTTGGGTTTCCTATCCCAGCGCTAAATAAAAGAACAAAAATTACAAAATTTCTATTTATTTATTCAAAATAAAAATACAAATTGAAATAAAAAACATGCATAACTTAAGAAACAATTTCTCCAGCAGCTTAGTTCTTTCTATAAAGACATTTGATGGGTTTAACCCTTTCGCTGCTCCACACGTATATATTCGCAAAAAAAACTTGTGTATCATACGCTCCCGACGAATATTTTCGCGCTTAGTTTTAAATTAGTTAGCTGCTCAATACGACTATTTTTACTATGTATTATTCATGTTTTAAAAAAAATAAACTGCTCTACACGAATAAACTCGCAATACTTAATTTCTTTAAACAGCTCAACACGAATTAATTCGCAGCGTTTAAATGGTCAAACTGCTCAACACGAATAAAGATGAAACTACTAAAATAAATGCGCACAGCAGGCACAAAATCTCAAAACGAATTGCGCAGCGAAAAGGTTAAACATGAAAAGAAAATCAATAATGATTACAACATTTCAATTACTTAAGTAAACAATGATAAAGAATTGAAATAAGATTTACAATCATGGATCAATTGATAATATGCACAATGATTGTCTACAATAACCAAAATATCAATATTTTAATCTAAAACAAGTTAATTAATAAATAAGCTCCTACACACAAGTGCAAAGTGCAACATTCACAAATAATAATTGTGTTTTGATAATATTTGGTTGTCTATCTATTTCCCTGAATTGACACTAAAAATTTTGTCTCTATATTATATGCAATATATTAAGTATTGAATGCAGCTTATAAATAGAATAATTTTAATTCAAAATTATAAAACATATTAAATATTAGATTACAAAAATATTCCTTATTTCATTTTAAAAAATTTCATATAGATATACATACTTTCTTTTTCAGGTTCAACATTATGTGTTATGCTTTGATGTTTGTTCTTCAGTGGATATAATGTTGTCCTTTTTGAAGATCCTGCTTGTGGTTTTGCAGCAATAATTTGCGAGGGACCAGCTTGTGATTCCACAAAATAAAATGGGAATACACTTTGTTAGTCTGGAAATAAATAAAAACTGAAATAAATTATAGTAATGATTTCTTATATTTACGCGAACACTATACATGATTAAAACTACTTTTACGGATTTTATCGACTTACTTTTTTTTAACTTTTATTTTTAATATTATTAAAAATAAAAGTAAATAAAAAGTAAAAATAAACGCGATAAAATCCGTAAAACTAGTTTTAATCATAAATTATAGTATCATAAAATTATTATATAAAATAAAATTAACATTATATTCATTGACATTACTTTCATAGTAAATCAGTCCCTACTCATGGCACTACATTACCCTTCTACCAATACAAAATAAATGAATGGATCTTGTTCATCCAACTTGCTCTATAATACGCCCACTATTACAATTAATATAACAAAATAAGATAGTAAATACAATAACTATGTGAAAAGAAATCTTGTGTTTATCTAATGTTTGAGAACCATTTGATGCATGTATTTCTACTGTGTTGTACAAGTTGTGCCTTTAAATTTGATAGGTTTAGGACGAAATGTAATTATTCATATATTGTGATGCCGGAACTTTCTTAAGGTTTGTTGTTGATTTAAAATAAAATTTGATTGTTAAAAATAATATGCAGTGTGTTGCACTTTTAATAATGTAAGGAAAGGCTTGTGCTAACTTTATAGACTTCAATCCTTTGGATGCTTTGTCCGATCCAATTATTATAAATTAGTTGAAAGAATTAACAGGATTCAAACTACTGTATGTGGTCTGTCCATCTATGTTAGATCCAGATGATGGTCATATGAATAATCATCATCTTCTTTACAGTCTATCAAAGTCCACTCCTGAATATTGTAATCCCCATATAAAATATCTGAGTAATCCTTAAAGAAAACTATATACATACCATATTACCATATACATTATACACTTTACTTACATCACATGGGACTGCAGTGCTTAAGAGCTTTTTCTTGGTTGCATCACTAAATTAACCATCATGAAAATGTTTTTCACACAGCATTCTGGGCTTATTATGTAGCTTTGGAAAGCTAAAGTAGTATACTGCTCTTGGGAAGGAATATAATATTTCGCCCATAATTTACAACTGAAAACAAAAGATATAATTATTAAATACAAATATTATCAAAGTAGGTTAAAAACAAATTAATGGTTTACAAACCAATAATTTGTTTTTAAATGGTAAAAGAGAAACAATAAGTTGGACAAGAGATTTACTTTAAGGTTAGAACTTATTAAATAGTGTATATGTATATCGTATACGTACCGCAAAATATACTTTACTGCGAATTTCGGAAACCTAAATAATTTAACGTTGTCAATGGTTGGTATGCTGTTGCACTTAGAACACTTTTTCTATTTTCTTTATCCGCCATTGCAGCGTAGTTTTTAAGAGTCACTATTTCGTATTTCACTACGATTCATTGACTAACACATTGCACATCATATAAATGAAGGACATTAATCTCAACTCAACATCGTAAACTTGCAAAATCTTAGTAAAAGACACAAGCAAAACAAACATAACAACCAATCATGAACAACAATAATTTATACGGCGACGCCATATTATGAGAAAAGAGAAATATATACTCATTTAGGTATTTGGTGTTACCAGTAAAAAATATAATTTTCTAATCATTGAAAATCAAAACAAAAAAGAAAACATTTATTTTTCTTTTACTGTCAAGGATATGCTAATATAATAATGTAGAAAAATACGACAGGCATAGTTATCTTCCTATTGATTATTATTTCTGTATTCAAAATTTTTGGGTGTAATTTATCTTTAGCAAAATCTTACTAATTATGAAACAAGACATTTATCTGACAAATGGCAATAATAAAATTCAGCCCCCGTAGGTATTTCATTCTGTCCATACAGAGTTGACCTGACTTATAGCAACCGATCGTCTGATCGTGCAACGAAAATTCGAAAACAGTGTTCTATAGCCATAGACGAAAGTAATATATCGGGCTATAGTAACGATGTATCGGATTGATTCGATGTATCGTTAATGCTTAAAACTTTGAAATATAAATATGGATGTTTTTTATAAACATCCAATATTTTTTTTAACTCTTAGCAATATTGCCTATACCAATTAACCAAACCCATAAATATGCAACTCAAAACATTCGTTTCATCAATAGATGCGTAGCTCAAATATCAGTTCATCAATTCATATATTAAATTTTATATCATTCATTTTTATTTAACTATGGTTAATGTCTTTAATGATGAACGTTTCATAATTTCAGCTATCCTACGCGTTTTTTATTTCTTAGTTTTTGTATTTAGTTATATCTTACAAACTAGATCGTCATAGTTAATTATCAACCATTTATCAGTATAAAATATTATTGGAATTAATATTGAAATGTTGCTTTCGATTTATTACAAATTTAAGTGTTTAAAAATAACCCAAATTTAAAAGTGTCAATAATACTATGTTGCAAGAAATATAATTATTTTTCGAAGCATTCATTTAACATCGATACCACAGTACGATATCTTTCATGGAAAAAACATCGAAGTTTTTATGTCCATCCTTTCCCCAGGCCAGAACTCTCTATCTAATACTTAGTTAGACCATTCAACCCAATGCACGAGTAATGCGCCTAATGCACTGACCTCTATATATACAAGTACGCTGGACTGGCTACACACCGTGACATGAAGAAGCGCCGCCATTTTGGCGCTGAAAGTAGAAGTGCACGTCCATGGAACTAATACTAGAGAGAAGACAGTGTACCAAATTATATCGATAACAATTCTGTACCCTACCTATCCCTTTACACTCGGACTGATACGAGCGTGAGTTTAAATTCAAAAAAATACTGGCACAAAACGGTTTACTTTTTCCGAACGCAACCGGCGTCGATCGTTCGCGAGATGTATTTTACGCGCGGAAAATAGATACGGGTGGGATGGGAGCAGTCAGTCACCTGTGAGCTGAGATGAAAGATGGCTGCGTTTTTCGATCCTCGCCGCGCCGCGGGTAAGTAATTATTTTTAATAGTAATTTGAAAGTATTTGATTGTGGTTTATAATTATTTTAAAGTTAAAAGATAATCCAATACCTAGATTATTTTGATTTTGTGCTGACCTTTACGGTTTCGTTAGAATTACGTTATAAAGTACGACCGCTACGATCGTGCGGCTCCGGTTGTACTACCGAAACATTATTCGGGAGTGGGTACTGTACTTGATGATTGTTTTTACATAGATTTTGTAATTAATAGTTACTTTTTTTAACGTTTTAGGCAGAAGTTTGAACGAA